AGCGTCTAACCTTCCTGCGCCATTACGTGCATAATGATCAGGACAAGGTCCCCAAAAAAGCTTAAGAAATGCGAGTGAAGAGGGTCTCCCGACGAACCTACAGGCAGGAAACAGGCTTGCCAGCATCCTCCACCGAGGTGACGAGGCGCAACACCAGGGGCCGTCAACCTACACAAACATGCATACGAGAGTCGAGGCAATGAAAAAAATATCCATTAGCACAGGGCCTGCAAGTTTGATCAGTCATTTAAAACTCTGATCGACATAGATATCAGACGCTTTGAAAATTGAGAAACGGCCAAGCTTTTCGAATTGACAACAAGAATTCAAACTTGTTCCGGTGAGCCAATTAAAGCTATCCGAATTTACGACCTTTATATGGAAACGGGTAAGAAGGCTCGCTCTCGTTTTTTCTATCGTGTCAACAATGAATGGAAGACTGCAATGATCATGTCCAATTCAGTAACAGTTAACACTAAAAAATAGAAAGTTCTGGACCTCGATCGTTGAGTCAGCCACTGTGGCTCCTCAGCTGTGCTCCTAAAATATATTTAGGCAACTGGATTGGCAACTAATTTGACCGTCTCAGCGATAACCTTATATGAAATGCCTGGTCTGATAAATTTGCCCCAAAATACCGTGGAGGTCCACACTATGTGCGCTGGTATTCGTGCAGCCGCTCCTATCCTTCTGCTGTTATGTTAAGATTCCCGGTCAGGTGTTTGTTGTTGACAAAGGATCGTGGTAGTACGCTTAGGTGCAGATTTATCCGTGTCCATCGCTTGCGCCCGCCCCTGCCTCCGCTCTTCTTGGCGCTCTTCTTGACAGCAGACGCAGACATGTGAGGCAAGAGAGACAGTGCAGTGGATGCAGCGCAAGTCCACGGTCACCTAAAACTGACTCACGCGCAAGTCCCCACGTTTGCTTTCAGCTGTTTGAGGCACGCGGTGGACGTCATCGGAATCGACGCTCGAACTGCCGTTAGGTCATGGGTATGTTCGCCCTTCCTGGAAGTTACTGCAGGGTCACTCGTATCGCGGGGAGGGGCGTTTCTATTCCAGTATCCTGTCTAAAAGGGGCATATACGTGAATCCGACCACCTATTCTCACCGAAATATGTCTTGCGGTGGCATCACGTAAATGGTTTGGGTTGTTTAGCATGTTCTTCTTCTCTACCATTTGACGTCAACCAGTATGCGGCTCCGAATTCTGATTCAATAAGCGTTACGCGCCCGAAAAACAGCGCGTGAACAAATCAAAGGCATGCCGATAAGGTCACTGGGCTAGATCATCGCCACCCGTTAGATGAGTCATGATCGCAGCTGTAACAAGTACAAGTCGCCACACAGGGGCAATACATAGATCCAAATTTTGGAATGAATATGTCGACGATACCCTTCTAGTCTTCAAGCCGACAATGGTCTCAGAAACCTAAGGAATCGTGAAATCTATGCTCCAGGACTTGCCGTTCAAAACAGAAGCGCATGGCAACAACCGGCAGACGTTCGTGGACGGCATTATTGTCAGTAATATGATATATACAGAGATGCCAGAAAAACAGGCATCAAATCCTGCGCTCTCACAGCTAGCACGAGCTACACCGCAAACGCAACGCCTTGCAACTAAACGAACGAGATGGAAGTCACTATCTACTAGGCTTCTTCGTGCTAATGGGTACCGCAGGAATATCTTCAAAAGCGGCCGACAAAGTCCAAAGACGGAACAATAAATGGCTGAAGGAAACTTCCAAACAGTCCTTCTGGGGCATTCATTCACCTCCTAAGGCCAACCCGTCAATATGTGAAACAGCAAACATGGTCTACCGGATTAAACATAGTGGTTATGAAGTGAGTGGCAAGCGACTGCGGAGCAACATACCTCTTCACGCTAGAACAGTGCGGATAGGTCTTTCAAGCCCAGTGGTTGAACACTGTGCTAATTCTGGACAGGCTCTCGCTTTCCGGGATGCTGAAATTCTGCGCCGAGGGCATGACAGCACGAACAGAGAAATGACAGGTTGCCTGTCAATTCCAACAACGTACAGCGTGATGGTAGCGCAGGGACGATGACTTAGGTGTGAATTAGTTTCCAGTGATAGTAGACTTGTGTCACATCTACCGCACTCTATCTTCGCACACCCGTCTGTTACTGGTGTCAAGACAGAATCAATAATACCGAAGGCATGATCAGGCACAGGCGGCCAGAGCCATCATGACTGACTAATATCACACGGAGCGAGAGAGCCATAAATACCACGGGG